TAATTGATTTATTGTACATCGCTTATATTGTAACAATTCACTTATGTACAACGCTTATATGTTTGTATTACCATTCCATTCGTGATTCAAACATTATAACGAAAATAAGTACACGTGAATTCTAACATTAAATAATTAACAGTGTATACATTATAAGGGATTCAACTTCATCTCACTGCAGACTGATTTTAATAATGCTTTTATATGTACTTTTTGTATATTTTAAATGAAGGTGAAGCGGTAATAATCAGTGAAAATGAAATAAAAACAAAAAACAAAAAAACAAAAAAACAAAAAACAAAAGCATATGGTCGTCTACCATATACTGTTTAAAGCGGTCACTTCTTTTTCAAACAGCCCCTAGCTATATGAAAGTACTTATTTATTTATTTAAGAGTAGTAAATCTTACTGACCAATAGTCGTAGTAATCCGGATATTCTTTGTTTTCTGCATTGTAAGACTCTTCAAATATTGTGTTGAGATTTTCATGAAATATAATTTTTTCTTCCCAGTTATAGATGATAATTTCCACTGGAAATCTGAAATGACACGGAAAACAAAACGGAGCAATAAACGAATTAAATCTGATTCATACTCATAATATGTAGAAATGACCAAGAATTAAGTTATAGATTGTATTTTATTGCTTCTCGCGAAGAACATCTGGTATATCCCCAAGAAACGTTGATACTCTAGTATGAGATATACTTGTTGTCCACACATCCCTACACACGTTTTACCGATCTGTTTTGTTTATGTTAAGTGCATGTATATAGGAAGACAATAGCATGTATCGTGCAATATAGTATTTTTCAATTCTGGGATTTTGTGAGCGAAATACCCAATGTACATTCACCTCGAGACCTATCAACTTTGAACTATGAATAATCACAATGAGCGCACGATATCGTCATTAACAAAAATAAGCGATAACATAACTTGAGGACGGCATTTTGTTAACCAAAATGTTAATATTCAATTTGAACGTACCCAAAAATGTATATAATATAAATGAAAGATGATTTTAGGAGACATGATCGTGTATATATATTGGGGCGTCGTATACTATTTTACAGAATTTCTTGATAACAAGAAATAGATCTGTGTTAAAATAAACGATAGTAAATAGTAAAACAGAGTTCTAAACGTGAACACATACGAGTAGGCTCTAAGAGCCAGTGTTGCCCTGGTAACGACCTCCATATCCTCCGACTCCTGCTGACGGTGGAGATCCTCCAGGAGGGTCCAGCTGCTAACGAACCGGTCCTTTAGGAGGCTGATGACGGACGGACTAGCGAGAGGACCCTCCCGTAAAGTCCGTCCCGAACCTACGATGTTAACGTGATATTTTTATTAATTGGAATAAAGAAAATACTGGTGTTTCACATTATTTACGATAATGTGATACGGAATAAAGTGATAAATGAAGTAAACCGGATGATTTGTTTTATCATACTTTTGTTGTTCTACTTGACGGGTGCAGTTCACATTTACACAATTCAAATTATTTTGTTGAATTTTGTACTTATTACTACAGATTCACAATATGCTATATAATTTGGTTATACACGCCACTTAGTTCAATATGAGAGCGATATACAGTATACTGTACCTCAGCAGGATTGATCATCTAGAGCACCCCAGAGGACGATGCTGTGCACGTACTTTTTCTCTACAGCAGCTCTTGAAAGTGCCTCACTTATGTTGTAATACTCGACCTGAATCATATTATATGTGGTACACTTTTTGAGAAATAAATAATATCAAAAATAGATGTTCCTTCTATCGAAAATCTCTTGACTGTACATTGCTACATACTTCTTACATACATATATATATATGTGTAATAGCAAATGTGTTCATAGGAATTTATTGATGAAGTAAAAAAATAAGTAAAAAAAAAAGATAGTTAATGTGAAATACAATTGCAAATGACCACTCTCGTGATATTGATTTCTATTCAAAATTTATATCAATATTTTGAAACAAAAAGAAAATTGGATGTTGTGTATTTTACAGAATACTGAAGGGTGAACAAAGTCATGGCATGGAATCAAAATTTGTGAAAAGGGAAGAACACAAATAAAGATTTACATGAAGACCTGAGAAAGGATATTGCAAAAAAGAACGGTTGTTCTGGAAGAGAAAACATCTTCTACTTCAACGATGACGCCAGCTTTATAAGTCAAGTTCATGAGGTAAAGAAATTCCTCGTTAGTATGGTAATATTCAAGTCCGAAGTTCTCAGAGGATATTCTTGGTTTCTTGATCAATAAATGGTTATATTTCACGACTGGGTGATATTTGTTCACGAGTGCGAAGCACGAGTAAAATATGGAAAATATTTCACTTGCTTATCTTTGCATTATTTTTCTTATTTGTCACAGTAGAAAAAATCCTTCTTCTTTCCATCATAACTTTTTATTCTTCACTGGTAAAAAGGAAATAAGTAACGAACCTGTTTAAATGGGAAGAAGGCTTTCTGAAGCTGTAATTCTGCAGTGTGGTGCGATATTTCTTGTTCCCATTGAATATTTGGTATCGTCATACTTGATTCTTTACCACAGGATGCTCGAGGGAAAGTAGAGGATGGTTCAAGGGAGGATAACTCCATCTGCTTCATGTAACCGATCTCAACTGTCAAAGTTTCATCATTTCCATCAATGCCAGTGTCAGACGTCCATTCCATGTCTAAAGGAAAAAAGATGTTTCAACTGAATATATGAGACGCGTAAGCAAACTTGGACTCCTGTAAACTAATTAAGTAATACAATAGAGTAAAACAAGAGAGTTAACAACACAATATGCGTGAAACAGGAGTACCAAAACTGTCTACACAGCAAGCCCGAGTTTCCTCTGGCCTTGACACCAGACTTAGACATTTTTACAAGTAGTCTGGTGTGGACATCTATTTGTCAAAATGCCTATGTTTGGTGTCAGGTTCTAAAGAAACTCGGGCTATCTACACAACTAAAATGTGTCTGCTAAATTTTACTTTCAGACCAAATGTCAGCTTTCTCATGCTACATCAAGAAAATTTCTGACTGATATCATTGATCATCATGATAAGGATATAAAAAAATGCACAATTTATATCTTAGTGATGCAATCCATTGTATTCAATGTACAGCTTTACACCTTACCAACGTTTAAGGATTTATCGGAGGGGACGGTCACGTGGAAGAAGTCAACATGAGACCCGTCTGCCTCTATAACAAGTCTTCCAGCAAACTGAGACGGCGTGAACCAGAATGGTTGTTTAGAATTGTCATTCAGTTGAAATTCGGCGTGGAATCTGCATAAAAAA